CACATTATATAGTATTATTCTCGTGACGAAGGATCAAGTGATGAATGTATTCTCAGAACTATAAGGTCACTGTAGACAGTGAACTACACAATATATAGAAATTCATACAGATAAGGGGTCTACAGGAGACAGTTAATCACATATTACCTCTCAACTAATATTTTTCTGATATCCCTCTCCATTCCCTCTCTTTTGTAGAAAAACGATTTTGAATAAAGAGAGAGAGGGATGGAGACGGGAAAGGAGTTATGGCCTGTTAAGACAAAGTTTGACCTTTCCATTGATAACCTTTTCTAATTCTCACGTTAACCCTGAGAATTAGGTGCCTTTTTTGCTTTTACAAATAAGGACATGGAGGCTCAGAGGAATGGTCCCTTTCCCACTCTGCCACGGCCCCTACCGTGTCCAGGCCAGTGGACAGCTTGTCCCCTCCCCCGAGACTCCACAGCCCTTGCTGTCCCAGTTCGCTATGGCAGTTCTCCTTTTTCTGATGAAGGTTTTCACCAGCACCCAGAGGCTCCTGCAGTTACAAAGCACTTCTCAACCATGGGTGGGGCCGGGGGCCGGGGAGGGGTGTGGGGAAGTGCTTAAGAAGGCGCGTTTGACACTGTGATGCAAATGTCTAACCATAAAGTGAGAAGAAAAGCAATTATTTCCCTAATGCCAAGACTGGAAATGAAGCTGAACAACGTTTTCTTCACCGCGGGGACGTGGGTTAGAAACAATGACAGCCTCATTTGCCACCATCCCTAGGAGCAACCCCGACAAGGTTGGTTGAAGGAGGGCGGCCCCAAGTAAAGAGTCCAGGGCCATTAGAAAGAGCCCAGAGAACACCAAATCCAGAACAAAGCCACCAAGCCCAGCCCTCCTGGCCATCTGCGCCTGAGAGCTGGGGCCGTGCCTGGTCTGACGGGGCAGCTGGGATGACCAGGACCTGGCTGGCCTTGCCCACTCCACTCAGTGAATGAAATCTCACCAGGTGAGTCAGCTGGCTCAGCCACCAGGACCAAATCTAGTGCAGCCTGGAAAGAGAAAAACCAGGCCAACCCAGCACCCTGGGGGCTGCAGGGGGCTGTGTGCTTTGAGAGGCTTGGGAAACTGGCCCTCACCTTCAACTTGGCAGCTCTCACCTGGACAGCCTTAGCCGCAGCGCCCCCTGCTGGCTAGCCACGCCTTGTCTCTGCCCTTCTTCCTCCAACAACACCGACCAGGGGCACCAACAAGCCTGCCCAGACTCCCCCTCGCAGCCCACAGGGCTGCAAACCCTTGCTGGTGCCTCGGCCTCCGTTTCCTCTCACGAGGCACAGATTGAGCCTCTAAGCCAGAGGTTCTCAACCTGTGGGTCGCGACCCCTTTGGCGGTCGAACGACCCTTTCACAGGGGTCGCCGAAGACCATCCTGCATATCAGATATTTACATGACGATTCATAACAGTAGCAACATTACAGTTAGGAAGTAGCAACGAAAATAATTTTATGGTTGGGTCACAACATGAGGAACTGTATTTAAAGGGCCAGAAGGTTGAGAACCACTGCAACTCTGAGCACTGCTGTTACTGAAATGCCTGGCACTCCAGACAGAGCTTCCGGGGACAGCCATCACTCTTCGTGAACCACACTCCGGGCACCTCATGTCCACTCTCCCATAGGACCACAGCACAAGGCTGAACACAGGCACGAGGAGGCCACGGGCCCAGCAGGTCCATGACCTGCCCAGGGGGTGGATCTGTGCCGCACAGGGTCTGACCCCAGAGCCCAAGGGAGCCCACAAGGCCTCCCCCAGAGGCCGCATGGCCTGGATTTACAAGCCCATCCGCCTGAGTTCAAATAACAGGTCCACCACTTAACGTGGAGTGCATCCTGGGGCCACTCTCCCACTTTTCTAGGGCTCCCATCTGTTCAATGGGGGGGGGAGACAAGGTGTCATGGAGGGTACTTGTGGAGGGTTAAGCCTGTAAACACCCCTAAAGTGCTTGTAACAGAATATGAGGCTGCCTTCTCTGCCATCTTCCTGAGCTCCCAGATCAGGCCTGGGGGGGGTGGGGGCCCTCTTTTCCCACCACCGCGGGGGAGGGGCCGCAGGTGGGGGTGGAGCCAGAGGCTGGCGTCCCTCACCTGCCCCAGCCCGATAGGGGCTCGTCCCCCGTGCAGACCTTGACATCCTCCCCAGGCCCCGCATTTATCCAAGATCTTTAAAAACGAAAGCTGCAGGGGAGGGTAATTAACTTTAATAGGAGCCGCCTTCGATTTAAAGCCACAGGGGGGAAGTAATTAGATTTAACAGAAGCCGAGGCTTTCTGAACCGAGACACCCGGCGTGGGGGTCCCCGCTCCAGAACGCCTTGGAGATGATGTCTTCTTTTGTAAAGACTTTGCCGGTGACATTTTCGGCGTGCTCCGTCATTAATGCCAGTCACCGACCGGGGTGTGAACGTGGCCTTGGCTCATTGAAATTCATTAGGCCTGGCACCGGGTTCCGTTCCGGAGTCCCCGCCGTTTGCCCTCCCCTCGCCTTTGCGCCGAGCGAGTGTAGCTCTTCCCCCAAACCAGCCTCCAGCGCCCCACACCCAGGAGTTGGGGGTGGAGAAGGGCTGGAGGAAAAATGAGAAAGAATCCGTGTTGAGCCACAGCCCCGGGGAGGACCCCTCTCTTTCCGCCAGGGCATGCCATCCCCTGGAGGTTGTCTGCATTCTCAGAGCATCCTTAGAGAAGGCCTCTGGTTTGCATGAGCCACTTCACTGGGTGGCCCCGATTTCCCCACCTGGTGCCGGCCCCCACCCCGGCAGCGTGCGTGTGGCTCTGCTGCCCCTCCGCACCAGGTAAGGAGCACCCCCGACCTCTCCATCCGCGCTGCGCTCAGGGACCCAAGGACGGCACCAACGTCGGAAACAGAGGGGCCGCTTTTCTCCCAGCGCCCGGGCCTGAGCTGTAAGTCAGTTTCTAAATCTGAGCTTGCAAGCCCACCGAGCCCCAGAGGCTCCTGCACAACGACCGCGAGCGCGGCAGGCAGAGCCGAAACCCGGGCTGATGCGCCATCTAGCGGCGCCCGCGCGACGCCCTATTGTTCTCGGGGGCGGGGTTCGAGCCCGGCCCCGCCCCCCCGTCGGGGTACAATTTATGGTCATCAAGTAAAGGGGCCCGGGGTGGAGGAGGGACAAGGATCTCGAGAACACAGGCTGGGAGAATGTAGAGGGTCCGCGCTGCAGGAGAAATGCCATCGCGCGGCTTTCCATCGGGGTGGGAGGGTCGGCACCGTCGTGGGAGGGAGCGAATGGGGCTTTTAAGGGGAGAGGGCCCTAAAGTCGAGGTAACGTTTCTCCGGACAGGGGGTGAGGGATGCAAAGCTCAGTGTCCCCCCTCCCCCAATCTCTAGTGCCGGCGTTCCAGCCCCAGCCCCAGCTAGCGCCCCCCGACGAGCGCATTCTCTGGGGAGCCGCAGCCGGAGGCGGGGCCCCGTCAAACTCGCCCAGTCAAGAGCGACCTGGCTGCCCACCCCGCCACCGAGTCGCGGGGAAGAGCTCCTCTGAGCTTTGAACTTGGGGCCTCCGCTCCCAGATCCGGCGATCTGGGCGAGATCACTGGGTAGGGCCCGGGGAGGGGGGCTGGAACTGGAGGCGTGGTGTGAGTGGGTGTGTTGGGGGGCGGGGGCCTGATGCAATCCTGATAAGAAATGCTCGGGTGTCAGGGGCACCCACCCGCCGAGAGGGTAAGACGCGCTATATAAGGCCGCTAGCCTGGAGCCGCTGCGCCCTCGGAACAGCGCACGCAGAGTGCACGGCTGGCTGAAGTGCCCCGCGGACACCCCACCTCCTCACGCACAGCCCCGCAGGGCGTCCCAGCTGCCGCCCAGACTCCCGCACCCCGCAGCTGCCAGGAACTGCGCCCCGGAGCCTGAGAGAAGTGCCATGCAAAGCGCGTGGAGCCGACGCGTTGTGGCCCGAGCCCTGGTCTTGGCCAGCCTCGGGCTGGCCTCAGCCGGGGGGCCCCTCGGTCTTTCGGACGCTGGGCCGCACGTGCACTACGGCTGGGGGGAGTCCATCCGCCTGCGCCACCTGTACACCTCCGGCCCCCACGGCCCATCCAGCTGCTTCCTGCGCATCCGCGCTGACGGCGCAGTGGACTGCGCGCGGGGCCAGAGCGCGCACAGTGAGTGCCCGCCGGGTCCCCCTCCTGCCCAGGGTCCCCTCCTTCCTTCGCCTCCCTCTACTCCCGCGGGCTCCCCACTCCCGGCAACACCAGGTTTTAGCAGATCCTCGTTCTGTAACCTCCCTGGGTCCCCCGACAGCGTGAGGACTGGGGGAGGGGGCACGGGTCCGTAGACCTACCACACCCATGGGTTACTCTCCCCTGACCGCCCTCCTCCCTTTGGCTCCTACGGACCCTTCACTCGTGGGAATCCCAGGACTTGGCACCTCGGCGTTCCACTCCCTCCCTGGGCCCCCAACAGCGTGAGGAGATGGGGGAGATGGGGGCAGGGTACGGGCACCAACCACGTCCACATATCGTGGGGCCCGCGGCCCCGGCTGCAGCTCTTTGCTTCTCTCGCATCAGGTTTGGTGGAGATCAGGGCCGTCGCCTTGCGGAAAGTGGCCATCAAGGGCGTGCACAGCGCCCTGTACCTCTGCATGGGAGGCGACGGCAGGATGCTGGGGCTGGTAGGTGTCGCCAACAGGCGGGAGGCGCTGGGACCGGGGCCTGCAGGGCGGGGGAGGGGCGCTGGATCCGATCCAGGGTTCCCCGGCTTCCTCCCGCTCGCGGGGCCCGGAGCTCCGAGGGGAAGGCTGGCTGCCAGGGCCGGACTAAGTTAACGTCCGACGTCTTTCTGCGGAAGTTTAGGGCCCCGGCCAGTGGCCCAGTGGCGGGAGAACGGGTCAAAGCCGCCTTTACGCTTACAGTTGAGCCAGAGGCCGGCCCAGTCGGATGGAGGGAACCCGTTACTTGGCTGTCTGCTGTGAAACAGGAAAACCCACCTCGGGCCTTTTCAGGCTGGGCTTGCTCTTGGGTGGTCCTCCAATCGGCTCCCCTTCCCGCAGTATTTAAAAAAGAAAGAAAAAGAAAAAGGGTGTGTCCACAATTCGGGTCTTTTTCAAAAGGTCACTCCTCAAACAACTCAGGGGAAAGTGACGTTCAGGATTGGAGGTATTTTTAAATTAATTTTTATCTACAAGAAAAAGGTTTTGCAGGCCCATCAGAGTAATATTCCATGCGTTCTCTCCCTGGCGTCCATCCTGGTGTCCAGCTCACCTGTGTGGCAAATGCCCGTAGGGGTGAGATGGCCCAGCTACCCACCGAGTCTCGGGGCAGGAAGTGCCCGGAACAAAGACAGAGAGTTCAAAGGGAGCCCCCCTCCCCCGCCGCTCGGGGGTGACTGTGTGTGGGCCGGGGGCTGCACTGGAGGCTCAGGGGCGGAGACTGCGTTCCCGGCCCTCCCACCCCCGCAGCACTAATCTTTTCAGTTCCCCAAAATTGTGCTGTGGCTTTGAGGGTTGTTTATTCCATTTATCCGGGGCCCTGTGTCGGGTTTTATGGCGGAGTCCTGAGTGAAAGGACACGAATGGAGGCCAAGAAAGGAGATGAGCGCCTGCTGAAAGCCGACACCCTAAGCCACGCAAACCCCTTACTTGCAACTGTAGTTATTTGTGACAATTACTTTATGGGGGAGGGGGGGT